GACATGACAACGACGACGAGGAGGGCCTCCCCCATCCCCCCCTGAACGGCGGTGTCTGGAATCTTGCTCCGCATTTCAGCGAACCCGTAGTCGAAGACTGCCCAAAGATGGTGTCCATAGCCCGAGAGGAAATTATCGCCTCTCCATTCTTTCGGTTTCCGATGTGCCCGGGAAGCCTTCAGATAGACCCCAAACAACTCTCACGGTTTACTGGGCACGGAAGAATGCAAGATGGCCTGAGTCGGCCATGTGTAAGGCTCGAGCGGGGGGGGCACTATTTGGAGAAAACATGTTTTAATTTCGCGGCCTTGAGAATTCGTAAAAGGGGATTCCAAACTCGGGCCCCCCCTCCACCGACAAAAAACCCAAAGGCCCCCTCCGAAACCTCCCCTCCCCAAGGCCCCTTTCTCTCCAACGCTCCCCAGGAGGAAGGGGGGAGGGGGGGTTCTGGACCACCACCCCCAAGCATTCGGGACCCACCCCCCCGCGCAGAGGGAGGCGAAGGGTTACGCCCCCCCCTCTCGGCACCAGTGGGCGGGGGGGAGGGCTTCGCCCCTCCCTGCCCCAGACCACCTCTTGCTCGCCGCCGGCAAGCGCCCACGATGAGGACACGACGACGACAGGTCGGGCGGGTGGACGGGCGGTCGAGTCGGAACGGGGGGGGGTCTGGACCGATATTGGGGCCAAGGCCGGCCCGTTTGGGACCAATCCCTGCTGGATCGGTACCAATATCGGCTGAGAAGGCTTTGACGCACTGCTTCTCCAGAAGTAATCTTAAGACTTCTTTGGAAGTGCTCAGGTTTGTACTTCGTAAGAGAAGTACTCTTAAGACGTCTTAAACAACGATTGCTAAGACATGCTCTTAAGACTTCTTACGTAACGCTTCTTAAGAAGTGCTCCCAAGACTTCTTCTTAAGCCGTACCCCTCTAGGAGTATGATGATGACTTCTGGCAGGCCTCTTGGGAAGATTCTTCCTTGCGATTCCTTACAACCTCTCTAACGTGGACTGACCACCTAACGTAATCCGGACCTCGATGACACCGAGCCTGGCCCGCGCGGAATGGGCGTGACACCAGCATTCTGGAGACATGCGCGTCTCAGAATGATGCTCCAGGTTGTGCGTGGGCCACATCTCTAATTGAACATGTTGTTGTCGCCTAGGCGCCAGCGACATCCTTCATTGAGCATGTTGTTCTCGCTTGTGCGTGGACAACATCTCTGGTTGAACATGCTGCTGTCGCTTGGGCGCCCAGGACGTCCTTCACTTGGAATGTCGTTCTCGCCTTGGCGCCAACCAGATGTCATGTCGAAAGTACTGCTGTCGCCTAGGCGTCGGCGGCATCCTTCATTGAGTATCTCGTTCTCGCATTGGCACTGGCCAGATCTCGGATTGAACATGTGGCTGGCTCATAGGCGCCTGCGACATCCTTCATTGAGCGTGTCGTTCTCGCCGTGGCGCCAACCAAATGTCTGATTGAACATACTGCTGTCGCAAAGGCGCTGGTCAGATCTCGGATTGAAAATGCGGCTGTCGCATAGGCGCCGGCAACATCCTTCATTGAGCATGTCGTTCTCGCCGTGGCGCAGGCCACATGTCTGAATGAAAATGCTGATGTTGCCTCGGCGCTGGCGACATCCTTCATTGAGCATGTCGTTTTCTCTGTGGCGCCTGCCACATGTCTGATGACAAATGCTACTGTCGCCGAGGCGTCAGCCACATCTTTCATTGAGAATGTCGTTCTCGCTATGGCGCCTGTCGCCTAAGCCCTCGTCTCAGTGGTGCTACTAGTTGCGCCAGAGCCAGTGCGCGTGTGCAGGGGGACATCTCGCCCACGATTACGACGGATGCTCTCGCCTCAGCAATCGCTATCCACTATATCGATGTTGTGTTGGCCTGAGCCCCAACCACATAAAAAATTGCGAATGCTGCTTTCGCCGCAGCGAGCGCCACATCCGTGATTGCGAATTGCGCTTTCGCATCAACGCCGGCTCAATCAATGCTTGCGAATGTTCCTCTCGCCTCGATGCTGGCCACATCCGTTATTGCGAACGTCACTCTCGCCTCAACGCCGGCCACACCCACGATTGCGAAAATAGATCTCGCCTCAACGCCGGCCGCATCCGTGATTGCGAGTGTTGCTCTCGCCTCAACGCCAGTCACACCCACGATTGTATAAAGTGCTCTCGCCTCAGCGCCAGCCACATCCATGATTGCGAATGTTGCTCTCGCCTTAGCGCCAGACACATCCACGTTGCGAAAATTGCTCTCGCCTCAATGCCGGGCATATCCACGATTACGAACGTTCCTCTCGCCTTAACGCCAACCACATCCACGTTTGCGAACGTCACTCTCGTCTCAGCGCCGGCCACACCCACGATTGCGAAAATTGATTTCGCCTCAGCGCCGGCCACATCCGTGATTGCGAGTGTTGCTCTCGCCTCAGCGCCGGCTAGATTCTTGATTGGAGACGAAGGGGGATAATGATACTATTGATAATTTTGCATTGCATGTTGCTGTGTCGCCCACTCTGGTGCATGATTTGCTACACAGCGCGCGTGACACACTGGTGTTGCCATGCCGTCGGTCACGTTAGCTTCAACGGGTCAGGCTAGGTTTGACGCAGTGTCGGCATGGCCTGGGTCAGGTTAGGTTAAGGATTTTCCACGTTATGGGGGGGGTGCTTGTAGGAATCGTACACGATCCACAGAGGATCCTCATGCGATTCACATAGGAATCGTAAACGAGTCACATCGGAATCGTGTGCGGAGAATCCTTTACGATTCACATAGGGACCTTGAACTATTCACATCGGGTTCGCATACGATTCACATAGGAGCCCTTAACGATTCACATCGGGTTCGCATACGATTCACATAGGAGCCCTTAACGATTCACATAGAAATCGTATACAAGCCACATGGGAACCGTATACAGGTCACATAGGAATTGTATGCGATCCAAACAGGCGTCGTATAAGATACACGTAGGATCTGTATGCCTATTCACATAGGGCCGCATACGATTCTCACAGGAGTCGCGAGGATACACGTAGAAACCGCAAACGATTCACATAGGAATCGTGCCATCGGAGTCGTATACATTGGAAACGTAGGCGATTCACATAAAAGTCGTGGACGATTCACATAGGACTTTTATACATTGGAACCGTATGCAGGTCATAACGGATTTGTTTAGATTAATATAGGATTGGAGTACGACACACATGGGGTTTCTCATAAATCGCAGACAACAGGGACCAATCCTGGCGATGGATGATGAAAAGCGCGAGTTGGTGTCCTCAAGCAAACTCATGTAGATCTGCAATGTCTGCAAGAAATAGGCACCTTATAGTTTTAGTTGTAAGAGCAGCCGGGATGGGCCCAAATCTAAACCAGACGCAGCCTTGACTGGCCCCAGGCGGCCAGGACTGGTACCAATTCGCCAGGATAGTCCTTTTACCAGTCTGAACGCCCCCTGCCCACGCGCATGTGAAACCTGCTCCATCGATATGCCTGCTACCTACCCCCTCGTGTTTCGGTACTCTTGACCTTGAGCGAATCCGTCCGCACGACGCTTCTGGGGGGCCCTGAACGAGATGAGTGACGTCCGCGCGCCGCCTATCCCAATCAACCTGATGCAGCATTTACCGTTGCAAACTTGAGCTGCGAGGTGCAAGGATACGACCGGCTCATCGTCGGCGTTGGTTGTGACGCCACGTCGGAAATCGATCGCGGCTTTTCGACCGCGTAGATCTTTCAACATCGGCAAATGTTCTGGGCCGCTGGCGTTGCTAAACCTTGAACGCCGGCGCTGGGGTCGCCGCCGGGGTGGTTGTCTCATCCCGAGCCGTCCCTTGACAGCCCCGAGAAACCCTAACTGCGCAAAGCCTCCCGTCGTGTTGTTTCCTTCCTTGTGATCCGACGTGGCGGAAGCATGGAACCATCGCCAAGGGAAACGACCGGAGCCCCGGACCCCACCTTTCTGCTGCATGTTGCGAGCAAGATCGATCTGGAAGGGCCTCGGCGCCCGAGACAGGGCGACCCGACTCGAACACACGAACGACAGCTACATGCACATAAACTTTCGGAGGTCCGCACTGATTCCTTGGATCGGCGCTAGGCCGCCCGACCCACGGAATCCGGCGCGGGCCTCCGACGACTTCTGTGAATGCCACCTCTCCCAGGCATGCTGTGGTGCTGGGCCCTCGTCTTGGAGAGGCAGCGCCCCGCGTTGTACTCCTCCTTTCTCCCCCTCCTCCCTCCGCCCCTCCCTGCCTCTGCCCATGTCGGCGCACCCCTCACATGTCTCGTGGCCCCACAGGGAGCTCAACCGAAGGCCCCTGTGGCTCGGTTCGCATTTGGGCGTCACGCCCGTGTCGGCGCACGCGTCACACGCTTCGTGGCCCCATAGGAAGCTCCACCGATGGCCCCAGTGACACAATTCGGATGTGGGCGTCACGCCCGTTTCTGCGAACCCCTCGCACGTTTCTTCGTGGCCCCATAGGGAGCTCAACCGAGTGCTACAGAGGCATAGTTTGCATGTAGGCGTCGCACCCGTTTCGGCACACCCCTCAGACGTCTCGTGGCCCCATGGGGGGCTCCACCGAAAGTCCCAGAAGCACCGTTTGCGTGTGGGCGTCACGACCGTTTCGCCACACCTCTTACACGTTTCGTGTCCCCATGGGGAGCTCCACCGAAATTCCCAGAAACACCGTTCACATGTGAACGTCACTCCCGTGTCGGCACTCCCTTAACACGCTCCGTGTCCTCACAGGGAGCTCCACCGAAGGCCCCAATGACAAGGGCCGCATGCTCCCCCGCGCCCATTCCGGTTCATCCCTCACACGCCTCGTGGCCCCATAGGGAGCTCCACCGCAAGCAGTACCCATTACGCGGTACTCAAAACTGCATATGGTTGGGTCCTTCGCCAAGATAATTTCTATTTTGACGGGAGTGTATGTTTCTCGACGCGAGGGTGTCGGGCGATCGTCCGATCCGCCTTCGTGGACCGCCTGGTGCACCATGGCCCGCAGCCGGGGGTCCCTCTGCATGGCGTCCATGGCCCGCTGCAACACGGCCTGGAAGTTCGGGTCGCCCCGCATTCCTGCCCAGGGGGAGGGTCAGCAGACGAAGAACGGCACAATGCATACACATAAACTTTCGGAGCTCCGCGCGGATTTCTTGGATCGGCGCTGGACCGCCGCCAGGGGGGGCCAGCGCAGATTCAAGAAATCCGCGCGGAGCTCCGACAATTTATGTTTATGCTGTTTGCTCTTCTTTTTCGGGTTGCATATTCCGCCACTGGGGACGACTGGCCCTGAGCGGCTGGAGAGCTCATTATACTGCAACGGTGGCACTTCGGGACAGAATCGTTCGAGCCGCCAAGGGACAAGCGTCGCCAGGCAGGAAATTCATGCTATACCGCGTTTCGGCCGCCAAGAAGGGGAGAGCCCTCCCTACCGCCATCTCTCACTCCCTTATCCCCTCTGTCTGCCACAAGATGATGTTCGACGCGACCTTGGGCAGCTCAGAGGTCCGTGCTCATGTGGCCCCGCAGCGTGGGCCGTCCCAGTCGGACGGGCCCGTGCGTGAGCACAGCCGCCAGGAGTTGCCTGCAGGTTACAACCTCGCTCGAGCACATCGGGCCTGCGCCGAAGAGTGGGGACCCCGGGCAGATAAGGGGAAAACAAACCTACCTCGCTTTTGACCACCCTCGCTTCCAAGAGATACCAAACGATGCCAAATTGCAGCCTGTACTGGTCAGGCCGCTTGACGAGGGGGCGCGTGGTATGGCTTGGTTTTGCCTGGAAGCGGAAGCGGGGTAGGTAATTCACGCTCTGAGCAGAGTCTCGTGGAGCCGCTGGACGGTCGCGCGCCAGCTCGCCTTTCGAGCGCGCGGGGTGCCGACAGCGAAGAGGCAGCAGGCGTTTTCTCGGGAGCACGGGGCGCGCTCCTTCGTGGCTCTGGCCAGCCTTGGCGGCGCGCACAAGGGGGATCGGGGGAGGGGGGAAGGCCTCTTAGAAGGAGGCTGCTTCCTAGAAGGCGCCGGCCTTACACCTACAAAGAGGGCCCGCGCCTTCTGAGAAGCAGGGGTGCTTCTGAGAAGCCTTCCCCCCTCCCCCTACCCCCCTCTGCGCGTGGCCAGCAACCAGCCAACCTCCTCCTCAGCCTCACTCTCCTCGTCCTCCTCCAAGGACCCACTTTCCATCCCAGGTAGCTTTGAGGATAGATCTCGGGTTCGGAGGGGGGGGGCGGCGGGCGCGAGCACGACGGCAGCGGAAACACTCGGGACCCGCTCCCCTCAAGGCACGTGTGCTCCATGGCGGTGGCAAGGCGAGGATCTTGGCACGCCGGCAACGGGTACGGAGGACAATGGCCCAATGCCCAATACCGACTTTTGCACAAAACCGAAAGCGGCCGCTGTTGGGCAGGCGAGCTTGTGACTCAAGTGGGCCGCGCCCGCGGCAACACAGACGACCAATCCGAGTCAACATGGGCAAGAACTGCTGTCCGTCGTCGTCCCCTTTCTTTCCGTGTCCATTGCGATCCTCCAGATCCGCGTCTTGAATGCATCTCGCCCTTTCCCCGGCATAATGTGTTTCCCAACCATCATGTGGTGTTGGGTCTTCGTTTTGAAGAGACGGCGCCCCACGTTTCACTCCACCTTCCTCCCCCTGCTCCCTCCTCCCACCCCTGCCTCTGCCCATGCTGGCACAGCCCTCACATGTTTCGTGGCTTGAGTGCCCTATGTTGACTCGAGTGCCCCATGTTCGCTTCGCAGTCAACCATCCCTCGCCTCCACGTGGTGCTTGAGGGGCGGCAGATCGTCCGCGCGCCCGAGCGCAGCAGATTCTGTCGACATGAGCAGGACCAGCGACACGTCTCAGGGGACATGTCGAACCCTCTAAGTACGTGCGCGGGGTGCGGCACTCATAACTTCAATTGAAAGTTGATTGCCAATGGAAGTGAGTGCCGCACCTGTCACAGGCCAGTCAAGCTCTACGCCTCGAGTGGAGAGAAGAGCAGGGACAAGGAAAGCCAGTTGGAGCTCGAGGCCAAGACGCCCACGGGCAACGTCGGCGACTCCTCGGCTCGGCAGACGGTGGTGGCCTTCTCCGGGGCCCTCGCAGTGATCACGGGCCCCGCGGAGAAGCAGCTGCTGGAGGAGCAACGGAAGCTCATCCAGAGGTCGGCGGCAACGGCGTCCTCCAAGCCGCCAGCTGCCGAGGAGGCGGTGCGCCGCGCAGCAAGCGCGTGGCGTGGCGCCAGTGCGAAATGCACGCAAACGGCGCAGCACGTGCAGAAGCTGGAACAGAATCCTGCCACGGCCAGTGGCGCGGAGGCCGAGGCAACGCGAACTCTCGCGCTGGCGGAGCTGAACCGTCGCGGGGGCCGCCCCGGCGCTTGCGACGGAGACGTGGGAACTTCTCAGCGAGGAGGGCTGCGGCTCGGAGGAGCCGATGTCCAATGTCACATGGGTCACGGAGTTCTTCCAGCAGCTCGACGACCTCGAGTGCGCTCGGGGGAGAAGGACCAGCCTCGCAAGGCGGGGTCGGACTTGACATCGGTTCGAGACTCGGTGCTCGACAATGCGGAGGAGATCGCCACGTGGAGGGCCGACGCCGAGGCGCCCAAGAAGAGTGCGCAAGAGCAACTCCCCAGGAAGCGGAGGTGCGACCTAGCCTCGGGCCAGGAGGCGGCGTCGCCAGCCGATGCGGGCGCCAGCGGCCAAGCGGTTGCAAGCGTAACTCAGCCCCTGGCGGCAGGAGGTGCGCAGACGGCAGGCGGAGTCGCGGCCCCACCAAATCCAGAAGTGACGGGCACCTCCGCGAGCGACATCCGGGCTGATATAGTCAGGATTCGCGCAGCCAGCAATGCAGGGGCTGTCGCTGCCGAGGGAGCCGCGGCCTTGCATCCACAGTGACGTGCAGACACGGCTGGCGGCGTTCTAGCGGCGGCACCGTCGTCCTTTGCTTTAATGGCGACTACCTCTTCGTCTACATCCACCCCGGAGTCGTAAGAGTCGTCAACTCTACGTATGTTTTCTCGACCGTCACGTGCCCAGGGACAAAATCATGGAACCATGTCAGTGGGAAGGAGTTCCTGGCCAGTTGCGACCTGGTGAGAGCAATTGAAACTCATGCAGGGTGCAACACTCGGACGCAGTGGGCGAGGAGGTCTCGGCAGCTGACATGGCAACTTCTGGATAACAGGGTTCGCAACAATGGCAAGGGTACATCCATCGCCTTCGCTGGTGCAGAGGGCCAACGATGGCGGTGAGGCTCTGCGGACCCCTGGTCACCGCAATGCGCACCGCCTGTTTGCGAAGGCGTCCGAAGCGGTGTCTCTGTATTCAGATGCACCCGACCGCCTTGATGGACTCACGCCTCCTGTAGGCAATTGCCAGGGCTATTCAAATTGTCTCGGTGCTTTCTCGTGCGCACTCCTCGCTCGGAGTTCGGGGTGCCAGCACTCGCAGTTCGGACAACTCTGAGCGCTGCTGCAGGTGCTTTGGTTGCCAGGGCTCGTGATTGGTGACTGCAGTGTCGGAGTTGATGAGCTTCGCAGGTCCTTGCTTGTCAAGCGTGTTGGAGGGCACCTTAAACCAGCCAGCGTTGACTACACGTGCGTCGGGGGTGCAAATGAACCGCATGTTGATTTTGCCGCGGCGTCCGAGAACTGCTCGCCACACATCGAATTCTTCGAGGCCTGGTCTGATGTCGCGTGGGGTGCACACCTAGGATTAGAGAGCTCACGCTTCGCGGGGCAAGTGAGCAATTGTTGCAACGTTCTCTCGCCGCCGTCACCGCGCCGCGTCTGCCGCGGGCTCCGTGTCCGAGCGCCAGCTCCGCGGCAGGCTCCTGGTCGAGCAAGTCGCGTGCGGAGCAGCAAATTCGGTTCCAGATTGCGCAAGAAAGGATCCGTGCCGACTGCGACGAGCTTTTTGCGGATGCTTTCCCATCCAGGACTGGCCCCTCCGAGCGTCTCGGGCCCGAGGATCCCGACCCTCCCGCAACCCACCATTCTCCTATGGGGACCGGGCTCCGGGGACGAGTTTGACACGGGGGCGTCTGAGGAGGAAGAAGATCCCTGGGCTTCGGAGTCGTGCTTCAGACCAGTCCACAGTTCAAGCTTCGACAACGTAGGAGCTCCAAGGCTTCAGGCCAGAGTTGTTAGGCGATCGCCTCGCACGCGTGTCTGTGGAAGAGGCCCAGGCTGAGGTACAGACTGCGAAATGCTTAAGAAATCATGGGTTAAGAAATTCATAGTCTCAGAATTTGAATGAGAACCCAACATTTCTATTAAAAACTTGGGATTTACATTGAAACATTAAGAATAATCGAGACTCTGGCCGAAAATTTAAGTTTTCTTAAGCATCGCCTAAGGTGTAGGTGGCGAGCTTTCGAAGGATGCTTTGGCGCCCCCCCCTGTCGAGCGCCCTCGGGACTCGGGCCCCGGCGCGCGGCTGGTGAGCAAGTCGATCCGCACTCCCCCGCCGATTCTGCTGCTCTCTCTCTCTCTCTCTCTCTCTGTTGACTACCTGCCAGACCACCCCAACCCAACCCGAAGACCCGAATTTCGGGTTGGGGGGGGGGTAAGGGTTCCACACGTGTTTTTTCGACGTTTCCCGACCCCCCCCCCACTGGAAATCGAGGGTAAATCTGAGCCTTCGGGTTGGGTTGGGGTGGTTTGGTGGGTGGTGATCTGTCCTGCTTCTCCATCCCTGCCTTTGCGCGGGCATCGTGTCCGGCTCCGGCTTCTCGGCCTTTGCATTCTCCTCGCGATGTCTGAGGCCCCGCAGACATGCCCTTTCATATATAAGGCAGGACGCAGGACGCGTCCTGTCGATCGGCGGCTGCTTCGGGCGACGGGCGGGCACCGCCGAGAGGGCGATTGCCCGTCATCGCGGCTTGCATCCGCCGCTGTGGTCCCGAGCCAAAGGAGTTGCGCTCGAGGTTGGCCTAATCCAGGTGGCTGACTACGTGCGAGCCCAACCGCTGCACGATGGCATCACCTCGCGATGGAACCGGCGGCCCACCGTGATCAAACGGGCGCGCCAGCACAAGCGTCCTCGGAATTGCGCTCTGCAGATTGCGCACCTAG